GAACAAAACTTATGACCCCAATTTAGCTCCATACATGACGTCATCTGTGATCTCCAGTATCTTCGCCGTGAGATCAGACACCATATTATCAGCAAAGCTAAGAAACTTGGTTTTCATCCAGATGCTATGGTCTCCCTGTCAGTCAGTTCATACCAGCTGTATTCTTTGGTTTTGCACCAATAATACTAATAATAATAATGAATTTAATTTGTAACGCACTTTTCATTAACAAAAATCTCAAAGTGCTWCRAAAAAATAAAAAATGAGTTCCAAGAGATTTCCAGGAAGGCCTGCTCCTCGATTCATTTTCAGCCTCTCCAGTTTATACCACGGTATGAATATGATCAGTACAGTCAAACCTGTTACACACACATTAACTACATTGACAGGACACATTAGAATGCAGTGCCAAAAAAATAATAATAATAATAATATGACACACTGACAGCAGTCATCACATGAAGCATGGATTAAAGCCTGGACTTCGAAGCTTTTCTGCTCTCATTAAAGATGCATAATCCCTCCATTAAACTCAAAGCTATTACACACCTCACATCAGTTGATTTTTTTAGAAACAACTACTTTTAAAGGCCCACACTTCAAAGATACACATGTCCTGGACGTTAAGTCTTCTTCAAGGGCACTGACACACACGCTCTATTGTATAAAACGGGTTTTCATCCCAAGCACGCATATGCAGGACTGATTAAATCTCAATTGTTAAGATTTCACAGAATTTGCACACAGCACGCAGATTTTAAAGCTGCAACTAAGGTTTTGTTTCTAGCTCTGGGCAGAAGAGGTTATTCGAGGTCCTTTCTGAGAAAATGTCTGAGGACATTCCTGATGACCAAACCAACTGCTGTGGAAACTATGATCCCATTTTTTTTTACTAATTATTCTCTTTCTGCTATGAAATTGGTTAGAAACATCAAAATAATTTTGAAAACTTTCAACTGGAAAGCAAACTCTTAAAGGGATCCATGATTAGTTGTAACATTAAACTTTATTTGATAAACATTGATAAAAACGATAAAAACTGAACATCCTACAGTATTTTTACAGTTAAAGTATATTTTTATCCTATAAAGTCCAATGTTACAACTAATCGGGGATCCCTTTAACAGATCATAGGATTATTGGGGCCTACAGAAGGAACAAAAATCTAAAAGACTATTTAGTGGATGCAAAGCTAAAACCACTCACCATGCCAAAGGTCAACAGGAATTCTTCAAAAAACTGAAATGGGGTTCAAAACAAATTTAATAAGAATCTTCAAAATGTCCACTAGAAGGTGTCCTAGGACAAGAAATTGTGTATATCTGATTATATGTCAGCAGTGTGGAACCCAGTACGTGGGGGAAACTGGAAACACACTTCTGACCAGATTAACACAACACAGACATAATATTAATAAAAACAAAGAAACTCACACACCTCTGGTCCAACATTTTATTCAGCATGGCTGGAATTCTGTTAAAACCACAGTTGTGGAGTGTAATCCCACCTGGTCCCTCGCTCAAAGGAGAGCTGAAAGACTCTGGATCACCAAATTGGACACAGTGACACCTACAAGGTTAAATGAAAAATAAATAATTAATTAAAATATTATTTTATGATGGATCTGGTTCGTTGTTAGTAATGTTATTTACGTCATTATTTGTACCTGAAATTAACCTGATCCAATTAAATTACTTCATATTAACCTGCTATGGTTGACCTTTAACCCTGAGGTTAACCCCGCAAATTTAAAACCTCAGGTTAACCTTTGATGACTCGTTTCTATCCATCCCCCTGATCTCAAAATCTAAATGATAACCCCAGGGATTTAATGTCTCAGGTTAACCCCTGACAATTTAATTTTAACTGACCCACCTGACCTCAAATTATAAAAATTAACCTTTACAGACAAATACTTATCTGTCATGAAGGGAGATAATTACCTAAAGCATTATCTTTCCTGTGAAGAAGCACCTACCTGCGTCGGAAAATAAATACTGAACTGTTCTGAAAAAGAAATACTCACCAGTTTTAAAGATGTGCTTCTCTGGGCTGAAGGGCACTGCATTCTAATGTGTCCTGTCAACATAGTTAATGTTTGTGTAACAGCACGTGCATCGTGGGTGTGATCATCTCACTGGTGAATTTYCACGTTGAATCAGAGTCATCGAGTCGGTGCTTCAAGAATTGTACTATTTTGCAACACATTTGTTGAAGAGCTTCAAGCCTCTTTTTGCCTTCACTAGACATATCCATGTATTGTGGATATGAATAGAGACTATAAATAATATCGATATGACTGTACTCTATACATTTAATCCACTTTTTTTTATAAATTCTGACCCAACTTCTACACCATTAAGGTTTTTGTTTTATTTGCATTGCATTTAAAGCAATTAATTTGTGTTAAGAGCATCCTCAAAATGTATTTCTTTAAACAAGTTTAGAAGACAAGCAGTACTTTAATTTGTTTTTCTTTCTAAATGTTGTTTTTTTTTTTTTTTTGGGTTGATGTCCGTTTGTGTTTTGTTACAGGAACCTCACAGAATTTACCCGTCTGTCCCAGCTGATAAGCGCAGACCACTCAGGGTGATCTCCCTTTTTGATGGTATTGCAACAGGTATGTTCATTGTATTTTAAAGGAGTAATACAGTACTTTTGTCTTTGTATATCAGGGCTTAAAGTTCTCCATCGCCACAATGGATTTCCATTATTATGAATGTGGTGGTCTGGGTGGATTTCCGTCATCTGGAAAAATGAGGAAAAAACTCTGGTTGTTGTTTATTGTGGTCTTGTTAAATCCACCCAATCTAATGATACGGGACTAAAAAGATGCTGCTTTTAACAAATCAAACGAATCCCAAAGCCATAGTTTTATCCAATCAGAGCAGAGCAGGGCGGGTCTCTCTGATGTCGGTGAGGCCAGGTGCAGCAGAGAGTCGGCAGGTGAACGCACCGATCAGTCCTGAGTGAGCAGACCCCTCCTCCCGCACTTCACTCCCGAGCTACCAGAGACTTTGGTATCTGAAACCCAATTATATTAAATTGAAAAATATATCATGTTCGTTTACTCCAATATGTGTAGAGGGAACAAATACAGAATTAAGACTTGAATGTTATGCGTAAGCAAGAAACACATACAAACCAACCGGCTGAGCCACTTACAGACTTTAATAATAAATAATAATAATAATGCATTAGTTTTATATAGCGCTTTTCGAGACCCTCAAATTCTGCAAATGCCTCTGAATTCAGGAAGCAACACATTACAACACGTTCTTCTTGAGCCCAGACCCTTTTCTGGCATCACATCAGATCCAGGGCAGAGCTCCCTATGGAAGAGCTGGGCTCCGTAACACCAGTTTTAATTACTAGTGGGAACAAAAGTTATGTGTTGTGCGTGATTAAGGCATGTATTAACTAATGTATCAAGGAGAGTACACCGTGACAGGTCACTCACACCAGATTGTACCTCAACTAAATCACAGTTTAATCATAAAAATAGATAATTACGCAAAATACATCCTAGTGAACCTCAAAATAAAACAGTATGTGTGATGCATTAAAAATKAGTGATAAACTGAATAAATTTTCTTCAAAATGTTGGTGTGTTTGGACTGTTATTATCTAACAATGCCATAGTCACGAGCGTAAATCTTTTTCAGTCAAAATATTTTCTTTCTCTTCAACCCATGATATTGTAGGGGTCATTGTTCTCTGAACTGAAAGAATGAACTACTTCAAATTCAAAACATTTGCACAGGTGATTCAGACAAGTAAAACATTGATGTTTCATCAACTTTAAACCATAATGATTATTTTAGATAATAAGATTTTTATACAGAAAAACCATACATAGCTGAAATCATACTGAGGGAGAAAAGAGATGTGTCCTCTTTTCTCCTGTAACTTTGATAGACATTCTCTGATTATCAAAATGCATAATAACTTTCAGTTAAGAGAACAATAAATCAAATAATAACTGATTAAGAAGAAGAGAATGTCTCTGAAAAGTTAAGGCAATCTGAGGTGGCCTAAATTCAGTTCTAAGTGGAACAGAGTTTTTGGCCCTTTAAAGGGATCCTCGATTAGTTGTAACATTAGACTTTATATGATAAACATATACTTCATGGAAGAAGAACCACAGCTTAGCCTGTTAGCTTTAGCGTTTGCCCCGATGCTATCACCATATATATGTATTAGCTCAGCGCGACACATTCTCCTCTCGTCACTGAGGTCCTCCATCCACATGACAGAGAG